CCCCCCCAACGCCTGTTGTGTCGAGGCGGGGAGAGTCAGTCCTCACGCCTTTTTGGCCGCAGATCCAGCAAGAGAAAAGAATGAGGCCTTTGCTTGTGCTGTGAAGGTTTTCTCACAGCGGGGCGACACACTGAGCCTTATATGGACTGTCTCAGAGGGGGCGGGGCATATGGGGTGGGAGGGGCCAGCATCTGAGAGGCCCCTCTGTTTAACCTTCTCCCCCACCTTTATCCCAGTGCTCCTGGCTTTGTCCCTCGCCCCCTTGTCCTGGCCATCTCTCCCTCCGAGGGGCTCTGGCAAGGGTGGGGGGCGGCTGGCTCCAGCACCTGCTGAAAGGGAGCCCGGCAAGTTTTAATCGGGCCCCGCTGTTGGCTGGACCCGCGGGATCCTGTGGCTGGGCGCTAAACTGCCGAAATGGCAAGGCATTCAGATGGGGGAGGGGACTGATTAACAGGCCAGCAGCTATTCACGCCCAGCCGGCCGGCAGGAATAGGAAATTGGCAGGATCAGGCCTTCTGCCCAGAAATGGGGCAGGGATACAGAGACCGCGCCCCTTAGGGCTGCCCCGCAAAAGGTTCCAGAAAGACCGTGAGCTGCTGCATGCTTTGAGCCATGACGGTCGGATGGATGTTCGGTGGATGCGAAGCGCCTCTGGGCTTTAGCGCACTGCTAACACGCTAAGCTGACAGACCCCAAGCTCATTCAAACCCCCCTTGCTCTGTGCAGAAGACGCTTGCTTTGACCTGGTCCCAGGCTACTGAAACGCTCCCATAATTCAGCAGGGCCGGTGCCTTTGATTAAGGTTCAGAGCCTCTCTGTCACTCTGCTGTGTCCACACTGGTTTCCAGCATGTGAGTGGGAAGGCGAGAGCCTGGCCCACTCCGTTTGGTACACGGGCAGTGCTTGGGTGTTTGTGTGCGGTGTGAGCTCCTGCCTTCTCTCCTGTCTGGTAATCATGTGTGCTTAATGCACTGTGCTGGGAGGCCTCCTGTCAGAAGCTCGGGTTCGGGAACGAGGGAGGGGCCGTCTCTGCCCCGACCGATCTGCGTCTCGAAGTTTCCAGGAATGTATCCAAAGCCAGTGGGCGGCTGCTGAGTAGCTTCTCTCTTCTCTGCCGGCAGGGAGCTGGAGCACAATGACATCTCCGGCACAATAGAGGACACCAATGGGGCCTTCTCCGGCCTGGACAGCCTGACCAAGCTGTGAGTGTCCCGCCGTTCCCCGTTCTTCACGCCATTCTGCCCGCTGCCGGCCTGCCATTGTTCCTGCCCTCTGTCTCCCGGGGAGAGTTTGGGACGCTATTCAAAAGCATCTCGCTGAGTGCAGGGGGGGCTCACACTTGTGGGGTGCCTCTGCTTGGACAGGCTGAAAAGGCTTTCAGAGCTCCACCTTTGTTTCCATTGAGCTGTTCTCCATCCTAGGCAGGCGGTGTGCAGGTCTTGCTGTTATGAAAGGGCATATTTAAGATAAAGGCAATTCAGTAGTCTGCAGACCTCATGTTGGTGCATGGTATGGTTGGTATGGTGACTGTAACCTTGGTAACGATGCCTACGCCCTTGTTTTACCATGTGTGGCCTACCTGCGCTGTACTAGTGGGGGGTACTGGAGGGTAAGGGCAGGTGGAGGTGGGCCAGCTGGGGACTTCGGGTGAGGAGACCAGTGGCCCCTACTGGTGACCCGTGACTGATCCGCTTATTAGCTTGTCATATACCAGCTTATATCCTGATGGGGCGGCATGTGCAATCGGGGGCTGAGATCCAGAAGGGGGCGCTGTCTCAGAGTGCTAACCCTGCCCCAGTGGTCGGGGTGCAGCCGTGGGGGGCTTCGGTGTCCTGGCTGAAGCTGCCGTTTCCTGTCGCACATGCCTGCTGACTGACGGCTGGTGCTTAGGGCCGTTCTCGCCTGGTCGTTCGCCTCAATGACAAGCGGACACATCTGTGGGGGCATTGATGACATCACAGATTAGACCGTTGAACCCAGTGCAGAGCGGGGAGATGTTCTGCTGGAGGTGGGGTCAGCCCAGTCAGGATGAATGGAGGCATTTGTGTGGGGGGGGGGCAGGCTTGGCCCCATGATCCTCTCGGAGAGCCATGGGTGGTTTTTGGGAGCCTGACCTCCCCACCCCGAACACAGCCCTGAATCAGGGGCCTGTTCCCTGGCCTGCTGAGGGTCCCATTAGCGTGGTAGGGATTAGACCCCAAGAAGGCTTGTTCCCTGCTTGAAGCTGGACTTGACAAGGCCACTTTCGTTAAGTTAGAAGCCGTGCTGTTTCATGTGACCCGTGGCCCATGTGACCCGCGGCTCCTCCCTGTCGTCGCCGTTAAATTCTAATAAAGATAAAAGTGGGCTTTGAAGCCGGCGCGGGTCTCGGCTGCCTAATCTCCACACAGTTCGGATTTCCAATACCTCAGACCCCTTATCAGATTCAGACCAACTAATTGTGCTTCTTTCTCTGCTCTTGCCCCCCCCC